ACGCTCAGAGGCGCAGTCTTCCAAGTAGAGCCGGGAATCTGAGTCACTGGGAGAAACGGGTTGAGATTCCCTTAAACCCTTGCTTCTGCTGATAACCATCTCCCTGGCTCATCACTCCCTGAAGTTGGTTATTGACTGTAAAAATCATCTTTGAAGGAAAATTCGGTCCAAAGCCCCAAGCTCCCCGTTTCGTAATGGAGACGTTGAGAAAAATGAAAGGTGAGGGAATGAGAAACCAATTTCTAGAACTTTGGTAACGAGAAATTTCTAAAGAGGAAAATAAAATCCTGCTGCCCTGGATTGTGCCCAATGTTGGTGAATTTTCACAATATCCTTAAAATTGGAGACCTAGAAAGGATGTTAGCCATCAACCGTTTCTTCATTTACTCAGTTCCTGCTCATCATATGTAAAAGAGATGATTTAGATTATGATATTCACAAATGAGAAAAATGCACTCCATTTAGCAAGTCCACTCTGCATGTTACCTGAGGTTTCTTGTGTGTGTATGGTGTATGTGGTGTGTTCTTGGTCATTATTTTTGCAAGAAATTAGATAGGGGTTTATCTCATGTAAAAGATGGCAAGGGACAAAGTAATAAAAGACAGGAAGTTAGGAGGGTCATATATATTATTAAATGTGGGCACTTTTGAGAGTGACAAGGTTACCAGTATTAATTAAGCTGGGTCACTGGGAATAAACCTGGGGAAAATGAGACATCTAGGCCCCTTGTTATGGGCAAGAGGCTCCACTAAGCTTGTAAGAAAAGAAGTTTAAAAATATTGGGACATTCATTAGAAACTGGATTTGGATTAAATACCTGTGTCCCAGGGCGGATCACTCAAGTGGGAGGGGACAAGTGGTGAGGGAAGGGAGAAGCCAGGAGAATTGCAGAGGGATGTGTAACAGTGCTGGGGTGAGGGCTTTTATGAATGTGGGTGAAACAGTCCTGGTGATGTTTATATGAATGTGGGTAGGATTCTGAAAGATCTCCTGGGAAGGGGAAATGAGAGGTCTGTAAAACAGGACAATGGGATGGAGATGATTCAGTAAGAACTGGATTGTGGCCAGTTGGAAATGAGCACTAGGCAGCAATGTGAGGGCTGTTTTCTCTCCAATCAGTCTTACGTAATGATTAGGTTGACACTACTTTTAGAGCCTTACCTTTGTTCCTCAGAGATGGATTATGGCGAGGGGGCAGTGAAGCATCTCTTTGAGTCTTGCGCTGGTGTGGGGCTGGGAGTGGGTGACCAGATCAGACTGGGCAAGGGTCTGGCTTCCCCCTGCCAAGGAGGAGCCCTGTAAAGCTTGGTTAGAAGATGCCAAAACTCAGCTTTTTTTCCCAAAAGAATCCCATGTCTACTGGCCAAATGCTTTCCTCCCTTCCCCCAACCAGGAAAATGCTCAAAAGGCGAAAAAGTTCTTGAGGGTTTGAGGGAACCAAAAGGGATTGCCTTATGTCCTATTCTGGCTACTATTTCTATGTAGCGACCACTCCAAAACTTAGTGGTTTAAAACAACCACCATTTTATTATGCTCATGGATTGTGTAGGCCAGAGAGTTGGATGGACACGGTGAGAACTTGATTCTGCCCCATGCTGTCTGAGGCTGCAGCTGGATAGACTCAGTGTCTAAGGCCGACTTGATAGCTGGGGGTTGGAATCAATTGAAGGCTCTTTCACTTGCGTTGCTGGCACTTGGGCTGGGAGGACTTGAAGTACACATGTGCTGACTGAAGTGCCTTCACACGTCTTCTCCATGGGCCTGGCTTCCTCCCAGCATAGCAGCCTCAGGTTTAGTGGGCTTCTTACATGGATTAAGAAGTCCTAAGAGGACTCCAAGTGTGACAGTTTCAGAAAACGACACGGAAGCTGCATTGCCACGTGCCATGTCATCTTGGAAGTCACATAACATCACTTCTACTGTATGCTATTGACCAAAGTAGTCATATGCCCACCCAGATTCAAGGGCAGGGGACACAGACCCCACCTCTCAATGGGAGGAGTATCAAAGAACTTGTGGCCATTTTTGAAAACTGCCGTTACAGGGTTTGTGGTCTAGCCTATAGATTCTTAGGGGGTTTCATTGACCTCATGAACAGCACCAGGATGGCAGCCCACAGGAGGAAGCTTTTGCAAATGGCCCTACATCATTCCTCGCCCACCCTCATTCATAGTTGCCTCTCCCATCACCACAACTGTCAGATCCCACTATAAACAAGGGAGGCCACATTCTGGACTGCATGGGGAGTGTGGTTGAGGGTTTGTTCTCTGGGGCCTCATGTGGTGGCATCATGGGCCACCATGAAGACGTTCTCTGAAATTCTCCCTTTGCATCTCCTGTGTCTTGACTCAGAGTTATTTGTCCACTTCATGTAGATCCTCCTCAGCAAACATGGAGAAGCTAAAGAAGTCAAACTCTAAATTTATCTAATTTGCAAAAGGAGAATTATTTTATTTAGCAAATAATTTATAGAGGACCTACTGTGAATTAGATAGTTATAATCTCTGATCTCAGACAACAAAGGAAATACAGGAAGCCACAAAGAAAGTGATCAGATCATGCAGGGCCTAACGGCCCATAATAAGGTGTTTAGATTTTAATTAAATGTGATAGGAAGCCCTTGAAGATTTAAGCAGGGTAGTAACATGACCTGACCTCAAAGACCACTCTGATTGTTGTGTGGGGCATGGTGGTAGAGGAGAAATTCTGAAATGGAAAAAAAATGGAGGAAGACCAAGTTTTAGAGGGAACCGGTTTTAGAGAAGTTTCTTCCACTTTGGGAATGATGAATTTGAGTGTAGCCCTGAAATGGGGAGGGTTGGTGCTGAAGATGTGCATTTAGAAGTCATCAGTATTTAGATGATTTTCAAACTCATGGGCTTGGATACTAACATCAGGGAAGAAGGTGTAGCCAGAGGAAAGAAGAATCAAGACTGAGCAGAAGAGGTAGGAAGGGTGTCTCTCAGTGGTAGAGCGCATGCCTAACATGCACAAGGTCCTGGGTTTCAATCCCCAGTACCGCCACTAAATAAAGATAAGTCTAATTACTTCCCCTACCAAAAAAAAGAAAAAAAAAAGAACTGAGCAGAAGAATCAAGAAATGGTGACAGTTTTAGATCACAGTTCTCAGCCTTCAGTGTGCATGACCAGGAGGAGCCTGTGCTAGCAGGCATGAGGTCCTGGGCTCAATCCCCAGTACCTCCACTTAAAAAAACAAAAGAAAAGCCAGAGTGCTGGGTCCACCCCAGAGATTCTTGCTGTTCTGCATTTCTAATGGGTTCCTTGGTGCTGCTGATCTGCTGAGCCACACTTTGGAGGAAGAGGAGTGAGCAAGGGAGACTGAGAAGTGATGGCCAGTGAGGTGGGAGGAAACCAAGAGTGTGAGAGGAGGTATTTCACAAAGGCAACAGTCAGCTATTTTTGAGAGACCAAGTATTTAGAGAGACCAAGTAAAGTGGAGGAGGCAGGAAAGATCTCACTGGATTTGGTAACATGGAGGTTGTTATTGGGGACTTGATAGGAGCAGTTTTAAGAGAGTGACAAGGACAAAGTAAATTGAAGAGGGAATGGAAGGTGAGGGAATAGAGACCACCCTTCTGAGAAGTTTTATCTGAGAGTAGCAGAGAAATGGACAGTAACTAGAGGAGAGTGTGGGTGTAAGGGAGGGTGCTTTGAACTCTAACAATGAGGGTTCCCTTCCAGGGGGGCCCATTCATTGGGATATTGCTGTACCTAAATACCTTATTCCTTCCTCCTCTCCACTCTGGCCTCCCCAGGCTGAAGCCAGATGGCTGCAACAATTTGAGGTATTGCCCCAGAAATCACATTTTCTCTGAGGGTGAGTAATTGTCAATTTAAAGAGAAACCATCATGCTGTGGATGCCTTACAGGATGTCTCTCCGGTCTGTTTGGTTTTTTTTAATGTATTTATTTTACAATATCTTATTTTTTAAATTAAACTATAGTTGATGTACAATAGTATATGTTACAGGTATACGATATAGTGATTCACAATTTTAAATGTTATACTCCATTTATAGTTATTATAAAATATTACCTATATTCCCCATGTTGTACAGTACACACTTGTAGTTTATTTTATACCTGATAGTTTGTACCTTTTAATCCTCCACCTCCATCTTGCCCCTCCCCTT